GCTTACCAATGCAGAAGTACATACAGATTTCGGCTACCCTTGAACAAGTCTTGGACCTCAAAACGACAACTTTTGAAGATATAATAGGGAGAATCAAAACTTATGAGGAACAGATAAGTGCTGCAGAGGAGTCACAAGAGAGTCAAGGCAAGCTTATGTACGCAAACTGAGATCATTCATCATCGAGTCATGATCAAGAAGGCAGTCAAGGCAGAGGTCGTGGTGGTTATCGAGGCAGAGGACGAGGTCGAGGAAGGAACAACTACAACCGTGATACATCAAAAGTGACTTGTTATCGATGCGACAAGTTAGGACACTATGCGTCTAATTGTCCAGATCGATTGCTCAAGTTAATCAAGGCTCAGGAAGACCAAGAAAAGGTAGAAGATGACACTCATGAGGCAGAGTCACTAATGGTACACGAAGTGGTGTACCTTAATGAGAAGAATATCCAACCTAAAGACTTTGAAGAGAGCCTTGAGAATGTGTGGTACTTAGATAATGGTGCTAGTAACCACATGACAGGAAATCATACTTGGTTTAACAAGATTGACACAATGGTCACTGGAAAAGTTCGGTTTGGAGACGACTCACGCATTGATATAAAAGGGAAAGGATCAATACTGTTTACAACCAAGGGAGGAGAAAAGAAGGTGCTATCAAATGTCTACTACATACCAGGACTTAAGAGTAATATAATCAGCCTAGGACAAGCCACTGAATCTGGTTGTGATGTGAGAATGAAAGATAATCACCTTACCTTGCATGATCGAGATGGAAATTTGCTGGTAAAGGCAATTAGATCAAGAAACCGACTATACAAAGTTACCATGGAGGTTGAGCCGACAAAGTGTTTGCAACTAGCTACAGCAAACGAGGCAGCAAATTGGCATGATCATTTGGGACATATTAGTTGTGAAACCATAAAAACAATGGTCCTAAAAGAGCTAGTTGTTGGAATATTGGGTGTGCCTGAAAGAAAAGAGACATGTGGATCTTGCTTACTTGGAAAGCAAGTAAGACAAGCATTCCCGAAAGCTACCTCATATCGTGCCTCACATGTACTTGAACTCGTCCATGGAGATCTTTGTGGACCTATAACACCTCCTACTGCAGCAAAGAAAAGATACATATTTGTTTTGATTGATGATCATTCGAGATACATGTGGACGATTCTTTTGAAGGAGAAGAGCGAAGCATTTGAGAAATTTAAAGTGTTCAAGGCACATGTAGAGCAAGAATGTGGAACTTCTATCAAGACATTTAGGACGGATAGAGGAGGAGAGTTCTTATCCCAAGAATTTCAAACTTTTTGCGAAAAAGAAGGCCTCAACAGACACCTAACCATCTTGCATAGATTTTACAGAGACATGGCATAGATTTTGACGAAGTTTTTGCTCCGGTGGCTCGTATTGAGACGATACGGTTCATCATTGCCTTAGCAGCGTCAAACTGTTGGGAAGTACATCATCTTGATGTTAAAACTGCTTTTCTCCATGGTGACTTGAAAGAAGATGTTTATGTCAATCAACCGGAGGGGTTTATAG